AATGAAGTGGATGACGAATCTATCGCGTCAGACTCGAGTGCAGTCACGCCTCCGCCCTCGACCTTGAAAAGACCACCAGTGTAAGAGCCAGTAAATTGTCTAGAGGGTGGCCTGAAAATTCACAAAATGGTCCATGTTCCTCCCAGTAACAAGAAGAATGGTGCCCTGAGAAAGTGTCGCGTGAGTGCTAAGCACAAGATCAGAAAAGAAACAAGTGTCGTGTGCAGGCTGTGGTGTGGCTCTCTGCAAACTTTCATGTTTCAATGTTTATCACACGAAGAAAAACTACTAAAGAGGTATGGAAAGGCATTTATTGCATAAAATATTGTCTTTTAATTAGTTCCTGAAAATTTCGTTTTTAAAAACCAATTTTTGTTGAAGTTGTTTAGGAAAAAGTAACTACATGCATTTTAGCGACATAATGTTTAAAGGGTCTGCCAGGACAGGGGTGGGATTTAAATACCCTTCGCGCCAGTCAAAGAGGTAATTCTATTATAAATTGTGGTTTACCCTTTTGGGGTAACTCACCCCGAAGTATAAAAATTTTCAGAATGCAAAAGAATATAATTAGAATTATGTTGGGATGCAGAAGGAGGGATTCATGCAGAAACTTATTTAGAGAATTAGAAATCTTACCTGTGGCATCTCAGTACATACTATCTCTTATGCTCTTTGTGATGAAAAACAGAAACAAATTCACAGTAAATTCAGAGATTCATAAAATAAATACCAGAGAGCAAAATAATCTCCATCAGCCTCTTGTAAATTTGAGTAAATACCAAAAGGGAGTTTACTGTTCAGGAACGAAGGTCTGTAATAATCTACAACATATTAAGGATATATTGAGTGACACTAAGAGTTTTGAGGTACAATTGAAACAGTTTTTCCAATTACATTCTTTTTGTTCTTTACAGGAATAATTTGGTTATAAATCTTTTTAAGATGCAAGTAGCTTTGAAGACAAGATTGTCAGTCTGTGTTCTGGTTTTTAGTTGCTTATTTTAGGTATACACAGTCCTTATATCACTGTATACTAGTCTTTATTTTAATTTATTATACTATTAATGTATGTTATACAAAACTCATTAATGACATTGTGTTTTAACAATTGAATTTTTAATTAATAGGCTTGTATAAAACTATACAAATTGTATAAGGTTTGTCATTACTTTTACTTCTAAAATTAACTTATTTATTTAGTGTATGTATTTGTCAGTATTTTATTACACATGTGCATGCTATTGGATGACAACTGTAATTCTTAGTTATGACTAACTAGGACGATCTCCACATCCACATGAGAATGTATTCTCGACAGGATTTATGGAAGGTGAATAAATGAAATACTGTTCTGCATGAACTTAACAGTGGTCTTCTTTTTTATGCATATTTCATACTGACCCATTTTAGTTTCACAAAATGTTCTGGTGTTAACTTTCACCTAGTAATTGTTCCTTGTTCTTTTTCTGTCATACATTGACCATAGAAATGCTCTATCACCTTAATGCCATGTACATTTTAATGAATGAGAAGGAAATTGTAATGAATGGCCCTTTTTTAAAGAATCTGTCATATTATGTAGCAGCTGATATAAAAGAGGATTTACAGTTAATACATTTCCTTAAGATTCTGAATCACATTTTCTCAAAAAACACAGTGAAGAATATGGTGGTAAATGGTAGGCTATGCAGTTCTGTTTGATGGAAGGATTTTATGAGCACATGAGATAAAGAGAAATTTAATTACAGTTCCAATCTTCTGATCAGTTTGGTATGTGATTTTTCTCAAGTCTTCTTAACTTAGTTGGATATAAATTTAAACTGAAATATAGATGATGCCAGGTATAACAGCTGGCTGATAGTTATTATTTATCAATAAATTTTCATCAAAACAAAAGTATAGCATATATTTGGTTAAATTTAATATTTATTTTTGCAATTTTATTTCTAGTCTGGTGTTTCTGCTATGTTCCCACCAGCTGCTCTTGAGCTTTTGGCTGGAAAAGTAGCATCTACTTGCGGAGATGTAAGGAGGGCATTAGATATTGGCCGGAGAGTAGTAGAGTTGGCAGAAGCCCAGAAATGTAAGCAGACAATGCCTCTTCAGGCAACTGTAGATCATGGTATGTATAGGCTTATCATCAGATGAAATATTATGTAAATGCAATGAAGTTTGTAGTTGGTATAGGCCTAAATGCATGTATGCACAGTAATATTATTAACATTGTCCCATTGAAGTTCAGTGGGAAGTCCAAGGGACATGTTAAAAAAAGGTAAAACTATCCCTGCAGCAGACCATGGAGGCCTGTTGCAGGGATACCTGGATTTGGTGCACTTGTAGATGAAACAGCAGTCAGTAGTCACTTTTATCTGAGGTGGAAATTGCTTTTGCCATAACCTTAGGCAAGTTATGTCACTTGTTGAACACAATGAAACCATGCTTCTTGTGGCATCATTGTTGCTGTGGGTTGTGACTGAGATTCTTAAAGTATTTGTGTCTTATGTTAATTATAGGTATTCCTCATTGTACATGATTTTGTAACTGCAGTAAATATTGTTGGGTGTATGCATGACACCAGGTATATGCATACATAGTCACATAGATGCAGTCAGTTGTCTGTCTCTCTGGAGCTGTAGACTGTGTAACATCCCAAGGAACATTCTGTCTTTGTAATTTTGTGTAGCACATAAACTAAAAAAGTAAAAGTGACCATCATGAGGAAATGTAGCAGCAGTAACCAAATTGCTACCAATGGCAAAAAACAAAGAAAATATATTACCCCTAAGGAAATGTTAGATGTGATTAAGAGATATGAATGTAACAAAACTTATTCAAGCAGGAGGCGAAATATTACGTTCTAAGATCCACAATCTAATTAATTCTATTTGGCATAAGGAATGTTATGCCGCAAATTTAAAAAAAGGGAAATTTGAGGCATTGCCCCAATGTTATGACAATTGCTAAGAGTTTGCACAACGATCAGTTTAAGGATGGCAACACCTAGACTGTGGATCTAGGCCAGGAATGTGTGTAGCCAGCAGAGCTGCGTAATCCTGCACAGGCAGGAAGCTCGCCTTACTAGGCCTTTGGAGTAAATGAAATTATTAAATACACGGTGATGAGACGCTGCGGATTTGTCTGCGACAAAAGGGGTTGGCCAATGGGAACCCACCACCCAGAAATTTAGGGCAAAGGGAGGAGTTAACTTCCCTCTTATGTCAGCTGCTGCGCCAGCCGCTAGGGGGTATAAAGACCCGAAAGAAAGACTTGGGGGGGATCAATTAAAAAAAAAACGTAATATTTGACAAGCAGCCAAAAGCTCTGCTCGGCATGGGCGCTACAAGATGGTGGATGGCGATACTTGTTTGCATCTCTATTTCAAGTAAGTCAGTTTGCTCATACTAGCCATGTCACTTAATTACTGTTGTGGTAAAATTGTGAAAGTGCAATCTCCAGTGTGCCCTGCGAGTTTGGAGAGGCTAGGGTAGAGACTACACCAAAGAGGGTAGAAAATGAAGGGAAGGACAGTCGCAAGCCTTACTCCCTAGGTGGGAGATTAGAATGAAGGAAAACTAGTTAACAAGCTGATACGATGTAAACCGACAGAATGTTGGCATTTCTGTATTGTAAATGAGAGTGTAAATAGACTGATGTAGTTAGGATAGGATGTACCAGAGTTGTGATTCATCCCCCCACACACAAAACCCTCCCCAGACCGATCCGGAGCTATCCTAGTCCAGGTGAAGGCAGAACTGACCTCAGTCAGCCAACGACAGCCAAATGCAACGTGCAGTTAGGGTGAGGAGAACCCAAATTAGAGCAGAACGACACCCCAGTCCTTGGGGGCGTGAAAGTTAATGGGTAGAGATGGGTTAGAACCTACACGCCTGTTTTACGCCATTACAAAGTGGTGCCAGTGACGGAGGGGCCAGCCAACACAAGGATGGCGACTGAGTAATTTAGTATTATTTCATTAGCCCCCCCCCCTTCAGGCACAACAAAGAAAAATTGCCTGTTCAGTGGAAGGAGTCTATTATTATACCAGTTCACAAGAAGGGTGATAAAACTGACTGTAGTAATTATTGGAGCATATCACTGCTATCAACTTCATATAAAATTTTGTCCATTATTCTTCTTTCAAGGTTAAGTCCATATGTAGATGAAATACAAGGTGGTTCAAATATGACCGGGACTGATTTTTTTTTTAAACCAAAATTGCCAAACACTTACTTGCACATATCAGTCTTCAACGTACTCCCCTCCAGAGTCAGCACATTTTTTCCAATGTTCTGGAAGCATCCTGATGCCCTTTTCAAAAAAGTTTTGTGGTTGGCAGTGTATCCACTCCTGAACATTCTGGATGATGGCGTCGTCGTCCACAAACCACATGCCTTGCAAATCTGATTTGAGCCTTCTGAACAGGTAGAAATCACTTGGTGCCAAATCAGGACTGTACGGTGGATGTCTCAGAAGGTTCCATTTCAGTTTCCGGAGGGTTTCCATTGTTGTTTTGGCCGTATGGGGGCGTGCATTGTCTTGAAGGAAGGCTACCCGCTTTCCACCTCTCTTCCGCTTGGATTGGATCTTTTCCTTCATGTCTGTTGCCAGGAGGTCTGAGTAATAAGCTGCATTGACTGTTCTGGCATCTGTCAGAAAGTCTATATGGATAACCCCCTGCCAGTCCCAGAAGAACGTTGCCATCACTTTTCCTGCCGAATGGCTCCTCCGCGCTCTCTTGGGTTTGGGAGAACTGGTATGCCGCCACTCGCGTGATGTTTGCTGGGACTCGGGAATGAAGTAGTGCACCCACGTTTCATCGGTGGTCACTATAGACTTCAAAAATGCATCACCTTCGTTTTCAAACTGCTGTAGGAGACGACTGGCAACTTGCATGCGCACCATTTTGTTCACGTCCGTCAAAGTGTGTGGTACCCACCGTGCTTTCACCTTGCGATAGTGCAGGTGGTATTTCATGATGTCTTCTACACTACCAACACTGATGGACAGCATTACTCTAAGTTCCTTGATAGTGATGCGCCTATTCTCACGAATAAGCACGTCTGCACGATCACTGTTCGGTTCAGTGATGGATGTTCGCTCTGCAGTACCTTCTGTTCACTCATCATTCTAGCAACTTCCAGACAGGACTGAACAGGTTCTAACCCTTACAGGAGGGAGGGTGGAGGTTGTGGCTTCAATCTCTGAAGGCCGCACAGCTGCTGCGGAGTGCGGCTTGTTTACAAAAAAATCAGTCCCAGTCATATTTGAACTACCTGGTAATTGAGGATCATCAGTGTGGATTTCGACGTAACAGATCAACTACAGATCAGATCTTTTGCATTCGTCAGATATTGAAGAAAAAATGGGAGTCTGATGAGACAATGCATCAGCTATTCATAGACTTCAAGAAAGCCTATGATTCAGTTAGGAGGGAAGTATTGTACAATATTCTAATAGAGTCTGGGATACTCATGAAACTAGTTAGGTTGATTAAAATTGTTGAAATGAAACATATAGTTAAGTCCATATAGGTAAACATTTGTCTGATAAATTTCCTATCCAGAATGGTCTAAAACAAGGAGATGCTTTATCGCCACTCCTTTTCAACTTTGCCTTAGAGTATGCAATTAGGAAGGTCCAGGGAAACCAGGTGGGACAGAAATTAACCCTTTTGCGCGGTGATTTAAATTCCGCGGCCGTCTCTCCGGCGGTAATATATTCAGCCGGCCATTTAAATTTTGCTCGAAAATGATTTATTCATCATTGTTCTTAAATTATATGAGATAGGAACATGAAACTTTCACTAAAATGATCTTAAAAGATGGTTTTTATAACCTTACCTTATAATATGAGCGCCCTGTATCTCGGCAATGGAAGCAGGTTGTTTAGAATTTGAGCAGTGTAAGGAAGGCCTTGAAGCATTCGTCTAACCCAACGGTGCCCCACATTCACCGCTCCAATATTGTGTATCTTTTCTTTGGCCCTTTTTTTTAACCACACATCTGTGCGGCCTTGCCTTCTTCCCCGTGAGGGGTATAGTTCAAGGAAATGTCTTTCCGTGACCCGTTTAGTTGCCAGGTCAGCTGTAGTAAATTCAACGTTACGAGTTATCATAACAAGGGGTTGTTGCTATGCCTTTGATATTCCATCCATTTTGGCGGCAGTAGATGTCGTAGGGGTGACCACAGAATTCATGAAGTTATTCTAAGAACTGGCTGGTATGTAGTGCACGAAAGCAGAGCTTAGCTGGCTCAAAAAAATATTCATGGTCATCCCTTGAAATGACCACCAAGGTCAGTACGATAAAATGGCGTCAACTGGAGCGATAATACATGAAGGAATGAGTTCTTCCCCCCCCCACACACACCAGTATCGTCATAGGGGGTGACCACAGTGTTCTGCCTTAATTCGTGACGTTTTTCTAAGAACTGGGTGCTATGTACTGTGCGAAATCAATTGATCTTGCAAGAATAAATTTTTGGACATCCCTCTTCTAAGAATTCCAATTGAGTGTGTTAGTGTGGCCAGCTCAGGGCAATATGATATTATAAACACAGCACATATCACGTCTCTGCTGTTTATAACTTCATAGCAAAGAAAACACGACATTCATAACAGTAGAACGAAGAAACCGCTCGCAAGAGCAACAGGAACTTTGCTGCAAGACAGGCATATGTAACGATGACTTAGCGCAGATAAAGTCGTGGCTTATTATACTCTGTTCTACTGACAACAGGCCAGCAAAAAATCTAACAATCTACAGCAAAACCATCAATTATTATGGGCGTTATAACATAGGTGTGCAGCTGGACGAAACATAGACGTCGAACCCCCCAGACGATTTAAATACCTGACGAAACATACATGCCAAACCATGCTGAACGGTTAAATGGGACACATCAGCTGTTTGTCTATGCCGATAATGTGAATCTACTGGGTGATAATGTAGATGCCATAAAGAAAAAAAAAACTTTAATTGACACAAGTAAAGAGGTTGGTCTAGAAGTAAACAGAGAAAACTAAGTATATGTTACTGTCTCATCACCAAAATGCAGGGCGAAATCATGACATAAAGATAGGAAACACATGTTTTGAAAGTGTGGCACAGTTCAGATATTTGGGAACAACGATAACAGATCTAAACCTGATTCAGAAGGAAATTAAGAGGGGATTGAACTCTGGTAATGCTTACTTGAACTCTGGTAATGCTTACTACCATTCAGTCCAGAACCTTTTGTCTTCTCGTCTGTTGTCCAAAAACATAAAAATTAGAATATACAAAACTATAATTTTGCCTGTGGATCTGTATTGGTGTGAAACTTGGTCTCTGACATTAAGGGAGGAACATAGACTGAGGGTGTTTGAGAACAGGGTGTTGAGGAGAGTATTTGGACTGAAGAGAGATGAAGTCACAGGAGGTTGAAGAAAACTGCATAATGAGGAGCTTCATAACTTGTACTCTTCTCCAAGTATAATTAGAATGATCAAGTCAAGGAGGATGAGGTGGGCAGGTCATGTAACACGAATGGGGAAGACGAGGAATGCTTATAGGATATTGGTGGGAAAGCCGGAAGGAAAGAGACCACAGGGAAGACCAAGGCGTAGGTGGGTGGACAATATTAGAATGGATCTTAGAGAGATAGGATGAGATGGATTGGATAGATCCAGGATAGGGATAGGCTCAGGATAGGGACCAGTGGAGGGCTCTTGTGAACTCAGTAATGAACCTTCTGGTTCCATAAAATGCTGGGAAATTCTTGAGTAGCTGCAGAATTTGCGGCTCCTCCAGAAGGGCTCAGTTCCATGAGTAAGTAAGTAAGTAAAGGAAAGCTGTAAAAGAGCAATCAGAATGATGGCTAGTGAGATCACACAAATTATGGCATCGGTTATAAAGAAAATGGAAAGGATGCTGGCTCAGTGCATTAAGCATCAATACCAATGTGCCATTCCTCTGTCCATCATGATTATTCAGGCTAAAGTGAAACATTTGTTTGATAACCAGAATGCTGTTGATCCAGATCTGAAATTGAAACCTTAGGTTAACTGTCAAAGTTGCAGCAGCTGATTTAGTTGCTGCTGAGAAATTTCCAGCACTCCTTCAAGTGACAGTTATTCTGGAAGTGGATGCTGAATATGTTTTTCTCACTGCAAGAGAAGGTGGTCCCAGAATTTAAAGCTTCCAAGTATCATTGCACACTGCCTTTAAGTGGAAATTCATCTGGCGATTACAAAATCAGACACTTGAACACTCAAGGGTTATTCTAGGGGTAATTGTAATTGAAAGTTAGATCTCATAGAAGCACAATACAAAGATATAATCCTCAATTTTGGTTGAAGCAAACTCCTTTACAGCTTAAAATGAATGTCCAACTAAACATTTGCACATTTAACTATACGTAACAGATTGAGTCCTGTGTGATTTAAATGTTTATAGTCACAGTTCTGGTGGGTTTGAAGGGTGTTTAAGAAAAGTAATTATTTCAGCAGCCTTTTCTGAAGGAATATAATCTTCCCACAATGTTAAAAATTTCAGAGATTTTTGTCAAAATAAAGTCAATATTTATGGTAATTTGATGAGTTACACCAAATAAAAAATATGTAAGCTGCACGCACCCCCATATGCATACACACAAGAACACCTGGTGTATATATAAAAAGTGAAGGTATCCCTGTAACAGGCCGCGGAGGCCCATAGGGTTGTGAGATGTTGACGTTCTCATATTTTCTAGACAATCGGCTCATAGATGGTGGCAAGGTAGTCAGCCCTACGTGCTGGCCACCCTTCACCCCCAAGAATATTCCTGGTACTCATTTCTGTTAGAGGCTGAGTCGACCCCAGGGCCATAGCGTGGCTGGAAGGATTAGGAAAATTGAAAAAATCCAATGACCTCATTGGGATTCGATCCTGCGACCTTCTGGCTTATAGCATAGTGCCTCAACCAACTATGCTACTGCGTACCTCCAGTGTGTATATTACACAATTAAATTATATTCAGTGTACACATATTACTTTACTCCTAGTATCTTTGAATGATGTTTTTCAAATCATACCCACAGAGACCCATGTCATACTTGCAGTACACCATTGCATACTTTGCTTCTCTTTGCCTGGTGTTGTAGTTTCTCCTGGCTGCATGCACCTTACATCTTCACTAGAAATGCCCCTTCAGTTTGAGTTGAAATTCTGTTTGGGAAATGATCTTGGCCCTCAAGTCTGTTTACATTCATTTCTGTCCTTATGTTACTGAGTATTCCTGCAACTCTGTTGTAGTATTGGGACCAGATTTTCTCCATCGCTCTTCATGTCTTGCAGTATCAGATTGCAGTGTGACACAAAGTTTCTGCAGACTAGTGATTTGTATCTTCTTCATAAGCATCAGATCTGAATCATTAATGAGTCTGAAATTATAGAATTTAAAACATACATGGGCCATGAAGAACTTACTCCTGCTTATAGCTTGTCCATTTTTGTTGAACTGGCCTGAAGAACATACAGATGTTTTCAGTCAGTGTGACTGCTTAGTTCAGCATGCATCAGTTTACTTTCAGGACATGTCTCTTTTTTGGCATGTGACCTTTGTTGCATCAGCAAGGGATGCAGTTCACATTACCACAGCCAGTTACTTTTCTTATGTAACCCTGTAATAAGGATTCCACAGTCAGATTGAAAGTGTTAATGGTATTGCTAAGAAAGTGAAATGTACCTGTAAGTCTGGAATGTTAGAGGTGTTCCTAAAGGAGACTTTTATTGTACTTCAGTCTGTTCAGTGACTAAATTGTAGGCTTGTTCATTTTCAGCAGCCAACACATCAAGTCCTAGAAAATCACCTATGAAAAATCCTGATGTAGGATCTGTGGCTCTGAAAGAAGTCATGGCAGTGCTGAACGGTGTATATGGGGCTTCCCAGTCTCTAGTCACAGACGGTGATGAAAGTTTTCCATTACAGCAGAAGGTGCTCATTTCCACACTGCTCCTAATGCTTAAGAAGAGTCAAAACAAAGACATCACTGTGGGAAAGGTACAAAATACTTAATACTAAATTCTTTTTGAGCAGGGATCCAAACTGAAATACAACTATATAACTTTGTTTTTGGATGCAAGATCAGTGACGGGAAGATGTGTGGTCATAATGAAGGCCATTTCTTGATAGATTGATAGTATTTAAGTATATTTGATGTCCAGTCTTGTTAAGGAGACCACTGTGATGTGGCCACTGTTGGTTGCAGAAGTTACGGAGATGCTACCAGAAAATATGTATGCATTGCAAGTGTTTGTTATAGAGAGATATGATTCCAAGAAGTTAAATGTTATGGACATGAACATGTCAAAATTTCAAACAAGTTTGCAGTTTTGGAAAATTTAGCAGACATCAGTAAGACTTGGGAAGGTATTACAGAAATATTAAAACTTCAGCCTTGGGGAGTCTTAGGTAGTTACAGCAAAACCTCACTAATTTGGACAAACTTGGAGCGAACCCTTGGCCAAATTAGAGAAAGTCTGAATTGTAGAAGTGCTACTGAAAATATGATCAGAGGATTTATAAAATGGACTTCACATGTTCTTTTAAGCAACGTAACTGTCCTCTTCTGGTTGTTGTGCAATTTCTTCAGTGAGATTTTGGTATCCAAAGCTAGCTCTGTGTATCTGCTCTCTTGCAGCCGATTTTCTAGATCTAATATGCTTTGACTTTAACCTTTAAGAGACGGCCATTTAAATTCTGGTAGTGGTAGCGGGACGGAGTTAATTTAAATGCCCGTCACTGTAGAGTAATAAAAATTGTAATCATGTTACTCAAAATGCCGTGATTTCTACAATTTTTGTGATAAACGAACGAAATGAACGCTGCTTTTATCTAGAAAGAATATAGAATCAGTTATTGTAATTTACCGATTTTAAAATCTCTTAAAATTTTTACACTGATGCCAAAAAAAAATTTTCCCTCAATTTCGAACGTCTGTGCACAAAAATGCACACAGTTCCTGCACAAAACGTTTCTGCAGTCTGAATGCCTGCTGCTGACATCATTTTATAACTATGGCTTACGTGGCA